AAACCATTTAGGACATGGCCATCCATCCAAACCAGTTGTCTCAAACCCTAGTGCTCGAGGGCCAGTCTCCTTCAACCTTGATTTGTCATGCCTGTGCAAATCCTCAGTCATTCTGTTCATGGCAACCACAACCAGGGTTATATCAAAGGTAGCTGGACTTTAACGCAGTTTTTCTGAAAACTGTTTGTCACTGAAGAAGGATTCTTTGTCAATTCTGACAGCGTGCACTAAATAAAACTGTAGCCGAAGCATTGATATTTCTGAGCACATGGAGGCCCATCCTTCTAGGTGGATTTAACTCCAGATGCAAAACACTGTCATGTCTGTCTCTCTCCTAGGTCGTAAGAGTTTATGACTTGATGTGATTTGTTTGCTTGACCTGAAACCTGATGACACTGCTCATGTGATCTCTTTGGAATTGGTTTTAAAGCAGACCTATAGATGTTTAAAAACTGGAACCGTGATCAATTCAATTCAATTTAGTTTATTTATGTAGCGCCAATTCACAACACGTCATCTCAAGGCACTTTATAGTTCACCAGATCATACAGTCAAATTGATTGAAAGTTTTCTGTCTAAGGAAAACCAGTTGATTGCATCAGCTCATTCATCCCCTCTGTTTTGTGTTGGCTTTGTTTTTGTTTTTTGTTTTTTTAACAAATATGGTTTTAGATGTGCTTTAGCTTCAACAGATCTGACTCTAATCTTTGCTTATGAGCAGAAAGCCCTTGAGTTTGACTGCTGTTAAGGCACCTCGGCCATTTAAATCACATGTGCAGAGCAAGGGACACAGCTAAAAGTTGCAAGTCACCGGCCCTCAAGGAGTGGAGTTTGAGATTAGGCTACTGATCTAAACCGACAGACCTGGCAAGGAAAGCATCAGCTGTAGAAGCAAAGGGGCTAATGGTAATTCTGTAAGAGCTCAGAGATCCACATCGTAGCTGACATGACAGTTATAAATCATGCATTCAAAATATCTGGTCTGCATGGAAAAGTGTCTACAAGAAACCCATTGCTTTAAGAAAGCCTTTGCAGTTTGCCATTAGTGATCAGTTCACAAAGCAGAGATTCAGTATATGTTAGGGAAAAATAACACTGATAAATACATTACATTGATTCAGAGTTTTTTTCTAGTCCTACTGACAAAGGGCATATCAACATGAGGTATAAGTAGGATTGGGAGTGTTGGCCTAGTGGTTAGAGTAGTGCCCTTGTGCTCTGAGAAGGGTCCAAGTACCAGGTTTGATCCCCACACCCTGCACTCCCTGAGCAAAACTCTTAACATCAGACTGCTCCCCGGGCGCAATACAATGGTAGCATTTAATGGCAGCATGATGAGAGTGAAATTCTCCAGTGTGAGATCAATACAGTTCAATTATTATACTAGATCACCCGATTCCCCACTGTAAACCATCATCAAGACACCATCCCTATAGTAAAAAACATTTTTTTTGTCATAATTCAGATACAAATCTAAACTTACCCACAGTGCTAAAACTGAAAGGTTTAGGGTCTTAAGCTACGTTCACACTGCAGCCTGAAGTGACCCAAATCCGATTTTTTTGCCCATATGCAACCTGGATCTGATCTTTTCACTGCAGTCTGAACAACACAGATCCGATATTTTCCAATCCAACCCAGGCTACTGGGCTATGTGGTCCTGACGTCATTGCGTCCTCTACTGCGCATGCGGGACACTTGCGTTGTATGACTGCAGTTCACACAGGAGATCACATACAAGTTGCATATATTTGGAAATACGAACGACCACGCAAAAACAATCGGATTTCACAAAAAAATTGGAATTGAGCATCAAGGCCCGCAATGTTAACGTAGCCTTAGAAGCTTAGATTCTCCTGTGTTTTCCGCAAGATGTTACATATCTTCTATAAGTCTGTTATGGAGACTTTGATCTCTCCTTTCATCATCTGCTAGGGTAACAGCATCAGAGCTATATGACTTAAAGAAGCTCAACAAGCTAATAAAGAAGGCTGGCTTTGATCTAAGTTCTCCTCTAAAACCTCTTGAGATGAATTTCCACAAATAATTTTTCATAATGTGAAAAACATTAAGGAAAACAGGGAGCGTTCCCTTTACAATTCACAGTGTACTCAGTAAGAAGTTTCTCCAGATCTAGTGCAAGACAGAAAGCTACAGAATATCCTTCCTGCTTACAGCTACTGTATCAACCTACAACAACTATAAAAACAAACAAAAAACAATTGATCTCTGCTACATTTAAGTTCCCATTAGGATTAATAAAGTATTTTTGAACTAAACTGAATTGAAAATAGTTATAACCTGGTCAAAACCAAAATGACGAATATAGTCTTAAGAGAACTGAATATGTTTGTACTTCAGTGTTTTATTTTTACTTGAAAAACAAAAAAACAACAGAAAAAACAAAATGTTTTTGCTTCTGGAATTACATAATGTTGATGATCATTTGACATTATTTTGAGACATTAAATTAAAATAAACTCGTTTACCTATTACATATGAAGCCTATGTACAAATTTAAAGCGGGAGGCTGTATCCTGCCACCAAACTCCTCATCATGTGCCTCTCCTCCAGCTTAGGAGCACGGCGCCACGCCTTCCTATCAACCATTTCTCAGGACTTTACTTTTTTAGGGCTCCAGACTAGACATGCTCACTTTCCACCTGAATGGCAGCCATTCTCTGCCCCATCACCAGCTTTGTTCCACTAGGCTCCCTAAAGCTCCTTGTGTTCCCCAGCACCACTGTCAAACTTGAGGAAATTATGCCTCTAACCAAGATCTACCTGCCTACACAGAATAACTGAATTCAACAACAGCATCTTCTGCTGGGGTGCAAAAGAATTAGTCATTTCTTTAAGCTTTTCCTAACGCCTCCTTTTTCTCTGTGTGAGCCTCTGCAAGTTAAATAATGTTTACCACTGTCAATCTTTAAAGACACCCAGAAAAAAATCCAGAAGATATAAAGTGTACCATGTTCCTGTCACACTTTAACTGTTTTGGATGGGATGAACAGTGTTCCATTGGTCATTCAGCCTTATTTTTCCCAGCCGCCTGAAAGACATAGATGGTAAATTCCCAGCTGAGGTATTTTCTCACACAAACAAATTAAATGACCATGAACACTTTATTGCATTGTGGTTTTTGAAACCATCATCCCACAGCTGCATTCTTCAGTTTATTACTTCTCAGCTGCTGTTTGGCAGAGTTCAACCCCCTGAAACTTCATGATTAGATCATTCATTTTGCCAGCATGATTATGGAAATTTTTTTCACTCACACTAATGTGTTAGTTTTCAGCAAATATGTATCTTTTAAGTGGAGTTCAATGATTTTTTTAGTTGTTCTCTTGAAACTCTCTGGCAGCAATCAACATTAGTTTCAGAAATGAGCACCTTCACATAATAATGTTAACCCATGCAGGTTTTTATTTTTATTTTCCTGTTTCTGCTACAAAGACAAAAAAAGACTTTTCCTGGTGCCAACTTGGATGTTTTAGTTTGGAGCTTGGTCATTATTCTTTGCTTTCATCTGTTTTGTCTTATCTACCTTTATAAGCCATCAGGTGTGTTGTGGCTTACTGAGCCAATTAAATGTTCAAAATATTTTCAAAGCATCTTGTAGGTGTCCAGCATAGTCCAAGCCACTCTGGTTTCTGGCAGATACATGGTTAGTAAGGGATTAAAGCAGAGAGGAGCTGAATGAGTGCCATGGTTTTAGTTTGTTTTTCCCCTGGTGTGCATTTACAACCCTGCGCTCGAGAATTCTCACAGATGGCACAAAAACACAGCAGACAGCAGAAAGGCGTTGGACTCCAAGGGTTTTGTCGAACTTATCTCCACTCAAACCCAGCTGCTGGCTCTGTGTGTCTGCCTGGGGAGTGTGATTGACCACTACCCTTAGATTGAAATTGATTGCATAAAGTCTTTAACAATAAAAGGCCTTTGGTTTTCCTGCAAAGCCGACGGAGAAGCGTCTAAGGATGGGATGGAGCTGTCACTAGAACAACAGGGTTCTATATTAGCACATTGTGCTGTAGTCAGATTCAGAAGATCAGAGTAAGCCTTTGATCTGAGGGATTCTGGGCTTCTAATTTGGCTGTATTGATCCGTCCAGCTCCTGTTCATGATGGCGAAGTCATCATCAATGTCAGTCTGCTGCGCTAAGTAAAAAAATCAAGTATCCAGCAGAGCACTGCCTGGAGCTCCGCTTGATTGTTTAGGTGATGTATAGTGTCAGGGTCTTTTTTGAAAAAAAGAAAGAAGAAAAACATCAATATGCCTCTACTTTAAAGTTTTGGGTTATAGTTGTTGGAAGATTCATTCCTAAGCAACAGCATCTTGATACCCATTTTTCTCAAGTTTAGTTTAGTTTTTTTTACTTATAAAGTTGTTTTATTAAATGTTTCTAAGCAAATATAGATAATCTTTTTGATTTACTTCACCAAAATTTTTATGAATTTTATGCCCACAACAGATTGGACTAGATAAAGCAACTATAGCAGATATGATCTTTTTTAACTTTTGTACCAGTCATAAAAACAGCAGCAGGGGGGATGAGTAAAAGGTAGTAAGAAAAGTGATTTTTTTATCATTTTTTTTTTTTTATTAATACAGAATATAGAACTCTGGTCCTAAATTGATGAGCCACATCACATAATGTTAATGACATTTGACTGAAGAAAGAAAATTTCATGATCTGCAAATGTTTTCTTTTTTTCTTTTTCACTGCTAAAAGATAGCAGGAAAAAGGCAACATTCACACTGCAGGCCTTAGTGCTCAATTCCTGTATTTTGACATCACAAGCAAGCGTGCTCGGTGTTTCTAAAAGTAAACATGGATGGTAGTGATGGAGCGCATCTAGCGATCTTTCCCAACCTTAAAACCACAAATACTACTCTCCACATTATTATCCAATATAGTTGTTGTTTTTCTTGCCCCTTCTGTGTAGCAAGATGTAGAAAGTAGGGATGCACCGATGCCGATACTGGTATCAGCATCTGGCCCGATACCACGTGTTTGTACTCGTACTTGTATCCGTAAATGTGTACCGATACTACAGGGCCGGATACTAGCATACATTTCAAGCAGCGAAGAAGACCGCAGTGTGACGTCAAGAACCTGCCAGCCAGAGTATAGAGAAGGAGGGAGCGAACACAAAAAGAGAGTTAGCATGTCCGCTATTTGGAAATATTTCCAAGTGAACGAGGACGACAAAAGTAAGGCTGTTTCCAAAATATGCAAATCAAAGTTTTCAAGGGGAGGAACAAACCCTAATAGTTACAACACAAGTAACCTAATAAAACATCTTAAGACGCAACATGATGCCGAATACAAGGAGTTCTCTCACAGCGGTGGGAAACTACAACAACCAACTTTGCCGCAAATGCTGAAGAAGCGGGAGAAGATGTCCAGAGACAATCCACATGCAATGAAGATAACAGAAGCTCTTACCCAATACATTGCCCTGGATGACCAGCCATTATCCGTCATTGAAGATATTGGATTCCGACGTCTTCTGAGTGTACTGGAGCCGAGGTATGAAATTCCTAGTCGCCAATACATCACTGACCGGGAGCTGCCGAAACTATATGACTTTGTGAAAAGACATATTCAGAGCCTTTTGCAAGATGTCTCAGCGATTAGCTTGACAACTGATATCTGGACGAGCAGCGTAAGCCCGGTGTCACTCATTAGCCTAACTGCGCAATGGGTTGACAAAGATTTTACCCTGCAGAGGGCTGTCTTGCATGCAAAACAATTTCGGGGATCACACACTAGCCAAGCCATCGAGGATGTGTTTGATGAGATGCTCCGGAAGTGGGGCGTTCCCAAAACTTTGATTCATGTTGTGCTACGTGACAATGCTAAAAACATGATAAAAGCCATGACGGATGCCGGATTTCAGAGCCTTCCATGTTTCGCGCACACACTCCAGCTGGTGGTTAACGAAGGGCTTCTGGTCCAGAGGAGTGTGACTGATGCTGTCGCTATCGGCCGGAAAATCGTAAGACATTTTAAACACTCCACGTTAGCTTACTCACGGCTGGAAGATATTCAGCTGCAGCTCAACCAACCAACAAAAAGATTGCAACAGGATGTACAGACCCGCTGGAACAGCACATTTTACATGATACAGTCTCTCATTGAGCAGAAGCGTGCTCTTGGAATATATGGATCTGAAAACGAGCTTCCAGAGAATCTCGCCGCTCACCAGTGGGCACTTTTGGAAAAAACTGTCGCTGTTCTGGCTCCGTTTGAAGAGCTTACAAGAAAAGTAAGCTGCTCTGATGCATTGGCATCAGATGTGATCCCTGCTGTGACTGTGCTTCTCAGAATCCTGAACAGAGAAACTGATGATGATCAGGGTATCAAAACAATGAAGTCGACCTTAGCTGCAGCTGTGAAGAGGCGCTTCACTGACATGGAGAAGATCCCCCTCTACTGCATTGCAATGCTACTGGATCCAAGGTAAAAGTCTGCCCATTTTTGTTTAGCATATTAGAATATCATCAAAACAGAATCAATTAAGCTAAAACGTTTTGAAAAATGTAATTAAACATTTATTTAGAATAATGCAATTGCACTTATGGCATTTAACATACAGTACTACACAATAAGCTTACTTTAAGTTACATGATATGATTTACAATTTTTACCTAATAATTTAAACACTAGCCTATCCATAAAAAGGAAATTTATTTAATTTTTTTCTGTTGTAGGTACAAAGATCGTTTTTTTCTCAAACGTCAACATTGCCATGGATGCCAAAGAAATGCTGAAGGTGTAATTGCAGAGTGTGAATACAGGAGAGCCAAAGGAGAATCTTGAAGAGCCACCCGCCAGAAGGCTTCGTATGACACAAGCTAGCAGCAGTCTGGACAGAGTTTTTGAGGAGATAACGGAAGAACAACAGTCATCTTCAACAAACCATGCCACCCCAGTGGGTGCTGCCATTCAGTTAGAGACCTACCTTGGAGAGACTACAATTGCTCGATAAGAAAACCCACTGCAGTTCTGGGGTGTTAATAAAATTCGGTTTCCTGCTTTGGCTAAAATGTCCCAGAGGTACCTCTCAGCTCCATGTACCAGTGTAGAAAGTGAGAGACTTTTTAGCTCAGTTTCACACATCATAAATGAAGAAAGAAACAGATTAAGTGCAGCAAATGCAGAGATGTTGCTTTTCATAAAGAAAAACTTGCCCCTCACTTTCTTAAAATAGGTTCCAACCTAAAAGACAAGCTTTACAAAAAGCATTATGTAATTAATTAGTTGCACATTCACAGTTTGTGTTCATTATATGTTCAGTTATATGTTTAATTTGCCTATAGGTAAAAACTGTGACAAGGCTGTTAAAACTATTCAGTAAATGTTAAAATCTATGTTAAACTAACAGGGTTGGTTAGACTAAACGTGATGTTCTATGTCTTAAAATATAAAAAGAGGACAGATGTATACAATTAAAATACACCAAGTGTATTTCTGTTTGAGCCAAATGAAAATAAAAAATTTTCAAATTAATTCTGAGGAGTTAATGGCACTTAATATTACTCGGTATCCGTACTCAGTATCGGCAAGTACTGAAGTTGAAGTACTTGTAATCGTACTTGGTTTGAAGAAATCTGGTATCGGCACATCCCTAGTAGAAAGTGACCTATGTTGAGTATTAATGGCGTTCAGGTGGGATGAATGCAACCTGGTCGTTCAGACACAGGTCGGATTTGAAAAATTCAGATTTGGGTTTGGATTCAGGACCACATAGCTAAGTAGCCTGCGTCACATTGGAAATAATCAGATCTGTGTTGTTCAGACTGTCATTAAAAGATCAGATACAGGTCGCATATGGGCAAAAAAATCAGATTTGGGTCGCTTCAGGCTGCTGTGTAAAAGTAACCTTTGGTATCCCTTAAGTTCCAAGAATTATGCTGGGTAACATTTTCTTGTATAATATCTAGTAGAACCTTCCACTAACATTAGTGAAGCATATTGCGTAACGACACAACAATAGACATATAAGCAACATTATCTGGGTCGGCCCGATATGAAGTAAACACGTGATAAAGGTTCAGGATGCGGCGACAGTTCCGTAAATCGGCCAAGAAGATAAAATTATGCAATTCTCAGTAGTATTTGATCACACATCATCAAACACCGCATAATTTTAAACACTTGTTGTTTTAAACACTTCACTAGAAAAGAAGATGAACTACATCCCATATCCCTGACTCATTTATGTCACTTCAGTGGAGGCTGACAGTGGCGTCGGTGCAACCATAGGGTTGGTGGTTCAAGCCTTGGCTCCAGCTTTTTAATGACGTTGTGTCTTTGGGCAAGACCTTTCACCTGCTTTGCCTTGTGATGGTGCTTAGAGAGAGTTATGGCGCCAGTGTATGGCAGCCTTGCGTCTGACAGTGAGCCCCTAAGGCAGCTGTGGCTACAATGTAGCTTGCCGCCATCAGGCTGTGAATAGGTGAAGGACTGAATGCAGTTTAAAGCACTTTGGTCAAGTCTCCTGAAATGCTTGAAAAAAAAAAGCTTTATATAAGTACTGATTATTTACCATTAATCTATTTTTCTCTCTTTTTACCTGTTTACAGCACATATTATTTGCAGAGCAATCGAAATCACACAAACAACTCTTGTTTTTAAAAGCAATGCAATCTGCTTTGGGTGTATTTTACATAATTTGACACGAATATGTTTAAATCTTTCCCCTACATTTGGAAAACGCTTGTTTTAAAACTGGGAAAACAGCATCAGCACAGAAAGGTGCTATGGTTGTCAAACGAGTTGCTTCCAATATTACACTATTTTGTGCTTCCTCTGTTCTTTCATTGCGCAGGAAGATGATTTGCTTTAAGTAATTTATATTATAGCATCATCTTTGTATGCATTTGATGGCATAGTTAGCATTGGGGAAAAATGTATTCTTAGATTTCTCCTCTTTTTGAAATGATAAAAGTTATACCCTTACAGTTTCATAGCTGCAAACTGCAAACTCCCCTATTTGCTAAAAAATAAGAAAATGAGAGTATGATGAATTACAAATAACAGAAATCAATATGTAATAGGGAAGGAAATTTGAAAATGCAATCACGAATAAAACAGGCATGAAAAAATATGTCTGCTTAGATTGTATAATATTTGGTTAGATAAAATCTAACCAGATATTCTTTAGAGAGGACGTTTTCTCCTTTATGACATTCTTCCAGACTTTCAGATTTATTGGAAATAAATCTGAAATTTTTGTTCCAAATAAGCTTTGTTTCATCTAAATGTTATAGCAGAACCAGTGCAACCAGCCAGCCTGGAACCATGTTATACTGTAGTTCAGCTTGCTTTCACTAGATTTTCTTTAAACTTTTCTACCTCTCTTGGTCTTGGTCTCTTGTCTTGGTCCTGTTTCAGTTTCAGCTTAGGTGGTCATGACGACAGCACTCAAGAAACAGTGTGACATTATTTTAAGTGAATGAAAACCTAAGGAAAAATAAATTCCTATCCAACAGAACCAGTTGCTTGGTGATTACATGGTTAGTTTGTTATTCCTGCATTCATTAAGAACCACAGATGCACATTTATATCAGTTCCTTTCAGCAACTAGAATTAAACAAAAAGGCAGCCTAATGGAGGTCTTCGAATTTATTCTGACGTTAAGAGCGAGAAACCCTGCATTACACACGCATGACAGGTTTTGGATTATTTATGAAGTGTTTTCTCGAGATCCATACTATCGACATTGACACAGGGCCTCATCTGAAAGCGTCTGCAACTGATTCATTATGCTGCATTAAATGCCCTGAGAGAAGGAAAGGGGCAAAGCTTGATGTATTGCTCAGCATATTAAATCTGTCTTGCAGCACATCAGCTGAATGAAGAAATGCAATGATTTTGCAAATTCAAACCTGAAAAATAAACAAATCCTTGTTTCAAAATACATGATGGTAACCCAGATTCAAACCTGATATAGTGGGGAAAGGGTTACAGTATATTCCATTCAGGGATTTGAAAGCTTAGCAAGTAGGTGCAATTGTATTTGCCATAGAAATAAAATGGTGATGAAGAAAATAATTCCTAAAAAATGAATTATACTTTTTTTTTAAATAATAGGTGCTTTATTATGAATAAATGTACTGATGTGCAAAATTTGTGAATTGTAACTGATGATCAATTCTTCATACTTAGCCCAAGTCAATGCCCCTAGACATATTCATTGCTGATGCAGTGAACAATTGCTGAGGCGATGAGGAATGAGTAATGAAACAATGTTCAGCGTGTTTCCATCCCCCAGGCTTGTCAACATCATGTGGGATTGTATGGCCATACATTATAAAAGCCTTAGCGGTGAACCACAACAGGAAAAGATTCATAATGCCCAGCTTGTTTCTATTCAGTGTTGCAGATGAAATTTAATAAGTGTCAACAGAAGTCAGAAGGATTGAATCCCAAGGAATAAATCAATATCCTCACATCGAAACATGATGATTGCTTTTCGAACTTGACTATATGGAGCAGCTCATTGCTCTTCATAATTAGAATAAAATATTGAAATAGGAGCTGTTTCACTCATTATACAAAATTTTAAACACTGAAACAGATAGAGAAAATATTACGGACCAGTAATCCATGAAAATATGAGCCTCTGATTCCTCTTTATGCTGAGCAATGAATGAGGATAGTGTTATCAGTAGCACTGCTTCCCCCGTCAGTGGATCATATCTCTTTGGCTTTCATTTTCAAAGGCAGATTGTCCATGGAACTAAAAGCCACCTCCCTATGCACAACATTATTAGATTCAAGAGTTGCAACTGCATGAGTTGTAGGAATGTCTTGATAGTAAAGCTGCAAACGTTTTATGGATAATAAAGGAAATGTTCTATACTCTGGACCTTTTTCCATACCACTGGGACAAAAGTGATTAAATGTAAGACATTTTTTTAAATTAAAAACTGCTTCAGACTAAATTTATTCCATTGGTTCTCCTAAATGAAAATATTAAAAGCATGCACTCCAAATTCAGCAGCACATTGTAATGGTCTGAATAGCTGATGTTGAGTTTAGACTTAATCTTTTTCTGCTTCCCTGGACACCTGGCTCCCTTCACCAAACACTGCGTCTGGTTTCTATGAATCTTTGTTCACTTCGGTATCTTTAATTCCCTATATTCTTTGCTATACTCTTTAGGGTATTTATGGGTTGAATTCTGATCAGTTAAACTGCTAAGAAATTTGTACATTTGTTATGACGATTGCAAATATCTTAATACTTGTGTTGGTCATACAAAATGCAAATATTAAGCATGTAATATTAGCATGCATTTTGAATAATGTCTTGAAGACAAGAATTGGATGAATGGGTTTTGATTTTGTGTGTTTTTCTTTTTAATTTAATCTCAAGTTTGACCTGCAGACAAGAATGAGACTGGTTTCCTTTAGCTAAACTGACAAGAAGAATATATATTTTGAAGGATCTATTGAAAACAAGGACTGGCTGCAAAAGTTTGAATTTATTAAGGATTTTGAAATTCGCCCATGTAAGGGGGCCTTAGTCCTCGACGTGGGCGACCCGGGTTCGAATCCGACCTGTGGTCCTTTCCCGCATGTCTCTCCCCCTCTCTCATACCCCCTTTCCTGTCAGCCAACTGTCAAACAAAACCAAAAGACAAAAGGCAATCACTCACACTAAGCATGCTTGTAGCGACTGTGGAAAGGAATAACTCCCTTTTAACAGGAAGAAACCTCCAGCAGAACCAGACTCAGTGTGAGCGGCCATCTGCAGCGGCTGACTGGGGTTCAAGGAGACAGAACTCTAACATCAGAGAATGAAGAGAGCAATTCTAGCCAGTCTCAGTCAGAGAAACATGACTACACTGAAAAACAGGTTGAGCTTGAACATCTATAAACAAAGGTATTGATAGCAGCAGCACAGCTAATATTTCTCTCTGGGATGGATTAACAGCCAAGCAGGGTCAGAACAGATGAAGCTACTATGAGAAAAAGCAGCGAGAGCATAACATTAGAGATTGAACTAACAGATTCTGCAGAGTGGGAGAATAGAGATAAAATAAAGCAGAATAATGAAAAAGGGGTCCCTGTGTCCTCCAGCAGTCTAAGCCTTCTCCTTTTACTTCAGCAAAAAACATTTTCAATCAAAGAAACAAAATATAATTGAGACCTAAAAAACTAAAGTTTTTCTTATGATAGAAGTGAAAACTTTTTTGTTTGATGCAACTTTTTATTCTCTGTCGTGTCTCTTACTGGTGGCTAAAATATCCTATGCTAGTGGACCTACTCTACAATACCTTTATGTTGGTAAAACCTTTCACTATTTTTTACAAACATAGCAGTTCCCTCTGATGATGGACCATGCACAGTGGGAAGTACAAATCAGAACTCCTTATGACACTATGAATATGCTATGCTGTAAGAAATATTGTTTTTCCTTGTTTCTTTCCTGAATGACAAATATTCTCTCTCTTTTATACTCAATGACCTGCTAATGCTGCTTCCGAAACTCTGGGCGGT